CATGTCATCCTTAGATATTTGCAGCATCCTTAAGTTGAATGGGAGACATGTTATAGCAAAGCATGGCTTTACTACCTGAACTAAGTGGTTGAAGCTGGGGATAGGAAGGGACAGGGAGGTCACAGAGGCCCTGGTCAAGGTGCAGGGTGGGATGTGGCTGGTGTCAGTGCCTTGAGCAGGAGCTCAAATGAGGTTTCCAAGGAGACCCACATGAGCAGACAGCCACATGCTAGCTCAGCTGTTTGGAAGCCTTTAAGAGACTCCTTCCAAGCACAGGGCTCAGCACAGACTGTCCATCCTTGGTTTTTTAACTAACCCTTGGGAATAATTAAACTTGCCCATCACCAGGTGGGAGGGCCAGGCTGGCTGCCTGGCTGCCTGGCAGACAGAGGGGCTTCAAGCCCTAAAGATGTGTCCTTGCTGTGGCTGCCTCCTGCACATTCCCAGGGGTGTGCAGGGACCACATTGAAAAAGAGCCATGAAAAACATAGCTCCACTTGCCAGCCTGCAGCTGAGAGAGGGGGAAAACCAGGCACCCCCACTCCTGCAAAGGCTTTTGCATGGTATTGAAAGCAGCAACATAATTTACCACCTGCTTTCATGCCCAGGCCTCCTCGCTGAAGCCGCTCACAACGGCTGTATTTTCCCAGACAGGCTGTCAGTGCTGCAGCCAGCAACAGCCTGAGCTGATGGTTCATTTTGCATTCACCTCTTCAGGTCCTGAGACCTCCTTGAGTTGCAGCCTCTTCCCCTGGCTCCAACACAGCTGACCAGTGGCTCCAATAATGTTTCTGACCTGCTCTGGCCTGTTCTCAGGAAACAAAAGATGTTGTTCAGGTGTTTAATGATGCCTTAATGAACATTCCAACTTTAGCTACTCTCTCTTCAGGCTGATTCCTCTTGGCTTGGTCTAGTTATCATGTTACAACATTAAGAATCTTCACTGAAAATTCGTAAAGGTTTGAGCAGTGCTGGGTTGTGTGCATCTGAGGTCAAAACACGAACAGGCTGCATCTTGCCTGAAGTCCCAAAGCAAAAGGTTGGTTTTGAAGCTGTTATAAATGCAAGCTGGTCTAGGTCCAGTGTTTGCTTGGCTTCAATTCAGATTCATTCCTGAAGTCAAACTGAACTTCCAGCCCTCAGGTACATTTACAGGGGATGAACATGGACATATCTATAGCTTAACAGAGCCATAATTTCTGCCTGAATGCTTTATTATTTGAAAATCGTAAATAAGGTGAAGTGAAAAGGGCAAGCCCCTTTAATCTATGAGTGCTGTGCTAAATGGTGGTGGTAAATCTCTGCTGGCTCTGTGGCAGGTATAGCTGATTTGCACTCCCAAAATGGCCATGATTTTATCTCTCAAACCACACCGAAGTTGTGGAGATCAGCTTTCTGAGAAAAAAAACCAAACATACTCTTGGCCAGGCTTGGATGGGAATAGTCAGCAAGGCATTCAAAGAGACTGACTGGGTGTGTTCAGCCGTTCCAATGAAGGAAGTGTCCACCCTGCACTGACCCTGAACTTTGTCAGGCTCCCTTCTTATCTCCTCCATTGCACTTCTTATCACTCCTGATCTGTTTATTGCTCTGCTTTGCATGCTTTTCTAGCCTGGTAGATAAGGCTCTTTCAAGGCTGGTGTGTTCAGCTATCCCTGAAAAAGATCCTACCCCCAGCACCATGGAGGCTGTCCATGCCAACAGCCCCGTAGGCAGCCCCACTCGCCTCCAGCACAGAGATGCTTGAAAAGTATTTTGATGAATTATATACAGCAAAGTGCAATCTTCCAACTCACACATTTATGCAAGATGCTCACACTGCTGCCAGAGGACAGTGGTTGCTTGAAACCATCCATGTTGTGTGTATGTGTGTCTAACCAAAGGGCGGTCTACAGGCTGGCAGGCACCCCGTTGGTGGTAGGGCTCTTCTTTCAGTCTGGATTTCAACCACAGTCAGGATAGAATAGAACCTGAGTAGTGCATACAGGTTCAAATACCCTTTCTGTTTGAGGGATTAATGTTTATCATTTTGTAGAGAGAATATCTCACACGTGGCACTTTAGTATGTTTGGTTTGCAGAGCACCTTGGGGTACTTTTCCACAGAAGGCACTACATTGAATTTTCTCATGATGTTGCATTATTTTGTATAAACTACAAATTGCTGCTGATCTGCTTGTCTCTGATATGCACATGTATTCAAAGTTTAATTTGTATACATCCCAGCCCCCCTGAGAGCTGAGGAAAGCAGGGAGACCCTCTGGGAACTGTCAGTCAATAAAAATACCTTCTGTAAAGGTTTTTCCCTCTGTCCATCCCTGAATGTCTCTGAGAAGTCCGAGCTGAGGAAAACTCCACCCCTACATGGAAAGAGCAGAAAAAAAACACCTCAATCTCCTTAGAAAAAGAAATTCATGTTATTCAGGAAGAATTTCTGTCCTCCTTTCAGTCCCATTGGAGTTTTCTGTAAGGCAATCAATGAGTAATAACCAACTTTAAAAAGAAGTCCCTTGTTGCTGTTATATGTACCACATTGCACAGTCCAACCTCAAACCAGGTGACTTAAGAAGCTGCGGAAAAAGAGAAGAAGAAAAATTATTGACTCTGATGAGGATGCTCATGCACTTGCCCACAAGGCAATTATGTTCCCTGCAGGGAGGATGCTGGGGAGATGCATTTATGGGTGTAACATCATAGTGTCTCTGCTAGAAACTCCAGTCCCCAGCATAGCACGGGAACCATCAGCACTGCGGACCCTCACTGCTGTGGGACCTGATGGCCAGGGAGCTATCCTTCAGTGCTGGACCCAACAGGGGGGTACATGGCATCCAGAGAAAACGATCCTTTAAAGAACTGCACAAAGTTTAAAGGAAATACTAAATCTGGGGTTCTTCTTTATCCCTTGCAATATTTTTTTTTCCATGAATGTGAAGCCTGGAGAAATGTTTTTGAATGAGATTGATGTCTTACAAGAAAAAAGTTCTGGTCTCCCAAGAGAGAGATAAAATAGTTGACAACATGGCTAAAGATCTCCTCCCCTGTTCTGCCAGGGTTGCAAGCATGACTGGGCTCAGAAAAAAGAGATGGAGGAAAGGAAACCTGAAACACAGACTTTTTGAGGTGATCGAGGTGCATACTCCTCCTTGCAGAGCTGAAAACACAGGTGTCCCAATTACTCCAGGATTCACTGTATTTTTAAATATTTTCCAAACCCTTAGAAAACTCAGTATTTTGCTCCACAAGTTTTTGGTTTCCCATTTTCAGCCACTTTTAAAAAAACACCTCAGACTCATTTCTGGAGCTGGTGGCTCAGAGGTTTCTTTTCAGTTCATTGCTGGCCATTAAGGGTGACAAACTGAGTGTGTTTGAAGGGGAAGAAAACCCACGTTGTGGTTATTGAGGGCCAGAGTTGGTGACTAGCTTCCAATCACACAGAAGAAATACGTGCAACTGCTTGTTCAGGACATTATTTCCTGGGTACCTGGCTTGTAGGTATGGTTAAGAACTAGTAAATCTGAGGAAATCTTAAATTAAGGAACCAAAATGTGCTTGCAAACATTTCTGCCTATCATTTTTCAACTGTAATAATAGCAGCCCTGTTAAAACAAGGATGAAGAATTGGTCCTACGTCAATAACCTGTATTAATGATGCTAGAGAAAACTGGGAAGTCATCAAAAGGCCCTGTTCTCTATTTAATTCTCTTCCCAGCTCATTATGGATTATCACATTTTGTCTAGTTAGTGGCGTGACTGTGGAAATAGAAAAACTATTTCCCTTCTTATCTAAAAGATGAATGAGGTGCATATAATTGGCTTCAATTATCATTTAGAAGTGAGCTCCAGTGATGCAGGGTTTTTTTCATTTTGTTTTTTGTCCTAAGTTGAAGCCCTGTGCCATGGTAAACTGCTGGTTTACTCCTCTGGTTGTTTTCTGTCCTCAGCACCCACGTGCTTGGCCAAAAGCAATATGCTTATGAAGGGCTGAGGTATGCTTTTCCAGAAAGATCAGCCGAAATTACCCAGCAGGCTGAGCTGATCACCAGGGTGTAAATTACCTCCAATGCAAACAGCAGCTGAATGACCCTAGCGCACCCAGAAAGTCACATCCACACTTGCCTTGGACGCAGACCTCATCCCACCACACCAAACCCTACCTGAGCTGTAGCCACAACTACAAAGAATTCTTCACTGTGACTGTGGTGAGGCCCTGGCATAGGTTGCCCAGAGAAGTCGTGGTTGTCCCATCCTTGGCAGTGTTCAAGGCCAGGTTGGATGGTTGAGCAACCTGGTCTAGTGGAAGGTGTCCATGGCCAAGGCAGAGGGCTGGAACTAAATGATCCTTAAAGTCCCTTCAGTCCCAAGCCATTCAACAATTCTATGATTCTATGCTTTATGAGTCCCAGAAATATTACATGAGCTCCAGGCAACCTGGACTCTCACCTCATGGAGTATGCTGGAAAAGGACGAGGGATTTGAAATCAATATTTTTCTTTTCAATACCAAGACAGATTAAAAATACCAAGGGAAGAGGAGGTGACAACACCAGATGGCTTTTCTTTCCCCAAATTAGTCTCCAAAGTGTTGGAGGTGCTCTAAACCAAGCACTTTCTATTGGGATGCTAGACCTTGGTTACAACTGCATCAATTCATGGGGATCACTCAGTCGCACATGTTTGGGCCCATGATACCTGTGTTTTGGTGCCTAAAAGCATCTGCCAAAAAGTCCAGCAGCCATGAAGATGGAGTTGTCAGTCCTGCTTGTGTTGTCAGTGCATTTCCTCAGGCCTCAGAAGACACTGGACAACAATGGCCATTGGAAAGCATAAAACATTGGAAAAAGCCCCAGCAACTTGGAAAGGGTCATTTTTTCCCTCCTATGCTCCCTTATATCTTTATTCAAAGAGAAAATAGTGTCTGAAAAAATGGGAAAGAGTATTGGCTCACCTTGATTTTCACAGATTGAAAAAAAAAGAGAAGTGGAAAGGAAACAGGATGCTTTCCCTTTGTTTTATATTATTGGAGTTTCATTATTTTCTAAGTATTTTGCTCAAAACTTATTTTTAAGCGCTCCAAAATAATAATTGCTGAAATTCCATTTTTTACATACAAAGCGTCATTGGCAAAATTTCTCCCACAGCAGTCAGGTGGAGCAGCAGAATTTGATGGACCATGGCAATTCAAAGGACAGACTGTCCAGGTTGCAGATCTCTTGGCCCAAATTGCCTCTGTTGTGTTCCTCTGTTGCCTGACGATGTGTTCTCAAGATATCACAAAATGCTGCTCTCTTTGTGCAAAAGTCTTGTAAGATTTCTTGCATAGATTCACTAAAATAAGAAAAAGAGCCAAAAAGGAAGTAAAAAAAAATAAAAAAAAAACAGAAAAATTACAGAACTTTTCTCTTCAAATTACCTCTGTGGTGGAAAAATGTCACAGAAGACTTAATATTCCAGAAATAGCAGCCAGCTCTGTGAGCTGTGAGTGAATGTAGACCCAAGTGAGATCAGGATCAAGCCTAATTTGTTCACGGTTATATTAAATTCACAAAAATATTTGCCATTTTTCTGGATCCAACCCCCAAATTGCACTTTTAATATCCAGAAATGCGCCGGTGAACAATCCATTATGTTGTCCTCCCACAGTTATTATTTTTCAATACGACAGGGAGATGACAGGAGACTGTGGCTCCAGGTTGTGAATGAGCAGTGGGAACAGATGGGTTTGTGAGAAGCAGCAATCCTGCTCTCCTGCTAAAGACACTACAAACAGGAACCCCCTACTAACATGCCCTGAAAATATAGATCAGTGGAATCGTCCCTTAACAGAGGATTTCACAACAGTTTCCAGGAAGCATCAATATCTATGTAGTAAGGAAATGGAGCTGCAGATGCTAAAGTACTTACTGCACTTTTTTTTTTTAATATGGGCACAGCTTCAATTATCCCACTATCATGTACTAAATAAGGTTGATTAATCAAGGTTTAAGATAACAGAAGGAGTTTTCAATGCCATTAATGTGCCTCATGGGATTCTCCCTTCTTTGGGGTAATGGGAAGCTTCTGGTCGTGAAGACGTAGATAATAAAGATTTATAGCACTATAATGTGCAGTGTTTTTCATGAGGGACACTATGAAAACATTGAAACTTGACAGCAAATACTATTTCAATTATTTAGTTGCCTACCAGCATGCCAGGATGGGGCTGTCTCTGCTGCTTCACCCCCACCTCAGTCTTTTGCTTTCTCTCTTTGCCTTTATTTCCCAGCAACGTCTGTGTTCCTACATGTTTTGTGCACAGGTAGGTGTGCACATCCCCTTCTTCTTGTCAAGCAACTATTAAAAAAAAAAAAAAAAAGTCATATAAGGGGCTCTTGACCATTCCCAAATTTCCCAGCAATTTTTCTGGACCACAAGTGGACTTCACAGGCCACTCTACATGGGAAGCATCCAGAGTGAAGGGTCTGCTGGTTTGAGCTGCAGTGGAAAAAAGAGTAACCTAGAAAATTATGATATCAATATGAATTTTCATAAAGGGTTTTTCCCACAGCCCTGGTGGGGTTTTAGAGGAAATCTGAGCAGAAGGGACTAGTATGAATGAATCAACAGCTGAGTTCTCCATCTCCTTTCTAACCAAAGTCAAGAGAAGTTTCTCCATCTTTAGCTGCCTCTGTCTTCTGGGCAATTTTGCAGGCAATTTGTCATCTCACACTTTGGGCTCTGCATCCTCCTAGTTTGTTATGATTTTTCTATTATTACCACTCTCTGCTGTGGCAGTTTTCTGGACCCTCAAGTGTAAATGTAAGACCCTGCAGTAGTCAGCTTTTAAGCCAGGATGGTGCAAGCTGTGCCACTGCTCACCCCTCAATGCCAGGTAAGCTGGCCAGACTATGGAAATACACTTGGCAACGCCATAACCCCGTTCTGGCAATGTGAGGCAAAATAAACACAACAACTAGCTGACAACTGGATTCAAACAAAATATGTGTGCTCAGAACTGCATGGATGACTCAAGTGCTGCAGCCAGGCGTTCCCTCACGTCTGGCGGCACCCCAGAGATGTTCCTGTCCCTCTGGCTGTAGTTGCTACAGCAGGCTGATGTATTGCGTTTACATTTTTGACAGGTTATGATGTAAAGAAGGCCCCTTCATCAGCCGGGGAGGGGAGGGAGCAGGGCTGAGAGAGCCTGGCTGACCTTCTAATTCAGCTCCTGCTGCCTCTTCTCATACACTCACATCCTCCTGCCTCTGCAGAGTAAGTGCCAAAATATTTGTCCTGGATCCTGCAGCCTCCTCACCCTGTCTTCACACTTTGCTTTTAAGGCCATGAGAGGTGGGGTGAATGTTCAGTCCCTTCAGATGGAAAATACACACCCTGAAGCTCCAAATACATCTTTAAAAAAAGTATTCTCATCCTGTGCCATGGTATTACATGTTGCACATAGAGAACAGCCCCTGTGCCCCCTCCCTGGGCACCAAATCCTGCACAGAGTGGTAAGTGGCTAGGTGGGCAGCAGTCACTGCACCCACAGGCAGTGAGCGATGGCTGGGCTAAGAATGTCGTTACTCTGTTAAATAGGAGTTTTACTGTTGTCCTTGGTGAGAAATGAATTATTCACTTCAGCAGGCACAGAGTTAGACTGTAGCCTGAATAAATACTGTATGCATCCCCCATGAGGTTTTCTCTTCACTGTATTCTCTAATTTCTTTCATACATGATAAATACTTGGATTTGTTGCTTTCCCTTATTATGCATTTGCTAGTTGGGCTTTCAAGCCCAAAGGCCTTCCCTTTGAATAGAAATGCAGATTTTGGGGTTTTCTCTGTTTAAGCAAGGAAAGCAAGGTGACTGGAGAACGCATTGCTTTATCTCTGACCTATTTCTATGCTCAGTATATTTACACCCTCCCAAGACACGGGAACTTGTCCCAAATCCTGGGGCTGCTTTCTGCTTCCAGTTCTCTCTCCTCTGGGGGAAAAGCTTCCCAGGGGACTGGCAGCATGGGTTGGCTCTTTCCTCTGTGTTTCTGCCTCTTTAGGGTAAGTTTTGCTCCCTGTGAACTGTAAGAAAAACACCATTATCAGGGTAGGTGCATTCGCATGTATTTAACACTGAAAGGGAATCTCAGGAGCAGATGCATAAGGCAATGTGTGTTTTTGAGTCCTAATTAGGCTGAACTCTGTGATTGTGAGATGCATTTCTGACCTTTTTTTTTTAATTATTATTTTTTAATTAAAGCAATAACCCCTCTTTTATCAGGGCTGAGCTAAACCCCAAGTGGAAAGGTGAGGGAAGGAGGAATAATTAATGATGATGACCTCATAGCAGCCTTCCAGTATCTGAAGGGGGCCTACAGGGATGCTGGGGAGGGACTCTTCATTAGAGACTGTAGTGACAGGACAAGGGGTAATGAGTTCAAACTTAAACAGGGGAAGTTTAGATTGGATATAAGGAAGAAGTTCTTTCCTGTTAGGGTGGTGAGGCACTGGAATGGGTTGCCCAGGGAGATTGTGAATGCTCCAACCCTGGCAGTGTCAAGGCCAGGTTGGATGATGCCTTGGGTGGCTTCTGTGGGGATGGATATTCCATTAAGAGTATTATTACTCTTAATATTTCTTTATGTAACCACAGGGCCTTGGGAGGGCTGGGCTGTGCATTGAAAAGGGGAGCCCGATGACAGACAAGCTCTCCAGCAGGATCAAACATTTGGGTGAACCAGGCACCCAGCTTGCAAAAACTGGGGACAGCAGAAAATCTGGGGTTTGGGTGAAATCTCATCTGGACTCCAGCTTTTGTGGCCATAAAGAGCGGGCAGCGGTGCAGGTAATACAGGTCCTTAAGGCTTAGACAGGACACCAGTGGGGGCAGCTCTGAAATCCACAATACAGTATTTGAAGAGGGGATTTGCACAATTTTAAGGCAGCTCACCTTCCTTCTGCCCAGCATGGTGCCTCCACACTGCCTAGCGCTGGCTCTGCAGGAGCACAGAGTACATAGGAGCAGAGATGGCATTGGTAATGTCACACGTGGACACTATGTGCCACCGCAGCAACATGCAGGGTTAACTCAGCTCCCTCTGCCCAGCCTGGCTAGATGGTTTTCACTACACAATAGCATGAGAAAGGCATCTCTCAGGAGCTGAGCAAGTCTGTGAAGGGGGAAGTGTTATTTAGGATGAGGAGATACAGGGGGGTGACGCAGCTTTATTGTACCTCATAAAAATAAAGCCAGGAGAGATAAAAACAACACTTCCATTTGAAAAGAGGGAGGAATAAGCCAGATAAAAGATATGAATTTTTCCTCTAAGACAGACTACTAAATAGGCTCTTCTTGTTCACTGAGGTTCAGTAATGCAAGTTGACAGGATATTAAGGTTATTTCAGGTTCTTCTGTCTCCCAGGGTCATAAGCCTTCTGCTATGCATGTTAATTCATCTTAGCATTCCTCTGAGTAGCTACATAAGTAGGGCAATCGGTTTAGTATGTACTCTTTCCATTTACAGTAGTAGTTGTGAGGAGAAAACTACTAATTAACAGAATACCCCTAGAAAATCAGGAGAGATTTTAATATCACAGAGACAACCCACAATATTCTCTGGTTAAGGAAAGACAAACCTTCCTCAGAAATATTTCAGGGGTGAGAGAGGGAGGCGACCTATGACAGAAAGAACCAAGAGGCATTTATCCCCCAGCCCTTCTTTACCCATCTTTTCCCGTGGACAGCTGGGTGACGCCACACATGACTGGTGAGCCACTTCTCTGTACGACTGAAGAGAAAACAAGAGCCTGAGTCTCATTGCATCTCCCTGCAAGCACAGGCTTCCCTCCCAAGCAGCAGCTGAACAGTTACTGTCCTTGGTGCATGGAGGGTGCTTGTGCGTCGTGCATCATGCCATGGACTGGTTAACCCCCTTGTGCTGTGGCAGCATCTGACCAAACTGTACATCCCCAGTGCATGGTGTGCTACATGCATGAACATATTCACCTTTTTTGCAGGTCGTTTGAAACCTGATCAGCTTTCAAGCAGATGCTACAATGACATCAGTGACTAATGTTAAAAATAATAGCACTCGTTTTGAGCCTGATGTGTTGAAAATAACCACCCTGAAATTCTCCACTCTCACCTTGTTCAGTGTGATTCACTCCAAGTTCCCAAGCGCTTTCCACATTACCTAATACTGCCTGTAAACTGTGCATCTATTTTAATGACTGTGCTTGTTCTGGGGAGCACCAGAGCACAGGGCAATGGGTGAGCGGGGCTCCCTCCTTCTCAGCTGTTGCAGTGATAGGTCCACTGAGACTAAGTGTACCAGTATTCAATTAAAATGAATTAGTAAAAAAGTAATTTTAAACCCACATCTAAATATTTTGCTTTGATTTGGCCTTTAACAAAATGTTTTCTTTTTTTTTTTTTTTTTAATTTCTGTAAGAAATGGAAAATATTTGCCCTGGCCTCAGGTTTTGCTGGAGATTTTAAGCAGGCAGCTGCTCAGAGTTATGTTCTTAACTCTTCCATTAGCAACGGGAATTCACTCCTGCTCTGTAGCTGGGAGATGGAGTTTTGCCTAACCCTGGTTAATCTGTAGTTTCTGCAGAGACCACTTGCACATTAAAAAAACAGATGCAGACTATTTTAAAGGCTGACACACACAGTGAGTTAAGTAATTTCACCTTTTAGGATGGGATTTTTTTTTTGAGAGACAGAAGACACTTCAAAGCTAATACCCTACTCCTGGGAAAAGGTCCTAGATCAAAAAGCCTCCTGATCTACAGCCTGTAGATGTCAATGGGAATAACCCCACTGGCTTTAATGGACTATGGATCAGGTCTTGATATGTGAACATCCTGTTGCACCTACAAGGTGCAGTAGCTTTCCTAAACAATTTGTTGTCAGAGATATTACAGGTAGACTTTGTCTCACAGGCAGTGGCTTCCCTAAGAATAAGGAAGAATTGGGAAGAGGACAGTAACTGGGTTCAGAGCTCTCCATAGCATCACCAAAATCAGCAGTGCTGCAGGGCTGTCCCTGGCCATTCTGGGCACAGCACAGCCTCAAGCTGCCTGAGCCCAGGGAGGTTCTACTCCTAAGCAGATGATGAAGAATCGTAACATTTTCTACATCTTCACTAGCAGAAGCTAGAACGTAGCATAGGCTGTTTAGTACACCAGAGAGGACAGGTGGAAATCTGATAAGTGTATTTATAGATAAGAAGCAAGATCTTTTTTTCAGTTAGTGAGATGAAAACATCTCTCTTTTCTCATCCATTGCCAGACCTGAGTTAGGTATCACAGACTGTAACCTCGCTTTGCAAAGAGCTGTGCCTCTACTGGCACTGG